TGTAAATAATGGCTTTTCTCTCTGCCTCCTGGTTTTCTCTCTCAGCTCTCTTTTCTGCATGTTAGACCCACACAGGATGGACCAAACCATCTTGTAGGTTCTACATTTGCAAGTCAGCATAGTTTCCAAACAGGCTTAGCTACAAAGCCCCTTGCCTTGGGCAGGGAATTTTTTTTCCCCCCAGCAATTGCACCACAAAAAGAGACTGCATTGCTCCTTCCATCTAGCATGAAGGAAAGAAAGATGCTCACCTGTTGGCCTTACCCATAGGTTTGTCTATGGATCAGATGTTTGATAGCTTGTTTGACAGCAGAAATTGATACCTTCCAGCAGTTCTACTCTTTGCTTTCTGTCTCAGCCAGTCTCCTATTCTCAAGGGGATTTTACCTCTCATCTTATCTACCTCAGTTTCCTTATTAGCCTCTTGTGAAGGACTTGCATCTTGTGTACATACAACAGTAGCATAATATTCATTTTGGCAGAAACAGATATGCATCAGCGCATACCTCTGTTGCCCATTAATATATCCCTGAGTTAAATCAACAGACTAGTTCCCCATTTTTTATCCAGCACAGCTCTGCACCAGCAGTTAAACCAATATAATGGCAACACAGAAACCTCCTTACCTAAAAGGAGCTACACTAGGGAAGGAAGTCTTCCTCCTGCTGTCCCAATCACTTTTATTAATAGGCTAAAAGCATTTGGAGAAGTGTCCCTTTCCTTTGAAAATGCTGTACTCGTGACTTCCGACCCAGTCTTTTTCTGTTCATCTTCATGTCTCACCATCTGTTGTCGCTTAATATTTGAACACGAGTGTCTCGTCATTTTTACCTGTTTCCCTTTTCTTTTCTCTACCCAAAGTCACAAAATGCAGCTCCTATCCTCTGAACCAAACAGGTTAGGACACTCATTTATCTGGGCCCAGGGTCTTCTCTTGCTTCAGAGAAAGCTGGAGTTACTACCATGACTTGCTGGTGTGGTCTCCCCACCAACTGTGATACTGGGAGTCAGCCCACATTCTCTGAGTCCACTACCTGTCACCAAGAGTGACAATGTGGGCTTCAGCTGAAGATGCAAGAAATCTCATGGTTAGAGTGTTTTTACGTGCTCTGGGTTGGGGGGGGCTGTAATTAGAGCAGCTCTGAGAGCCACTCAAATTAAGAGTCTCGTGTATCAGCATCCCTACACTCCAAGACGGAGAAAACTCCTTGAACAAGGAGGAACTGGACTGGGAATTTTAAGGCCAGCTTGCAGAGGCACTTAAAGCAAGGGATGTAGTTGTC